ATATATATATTTATATATACTTAAAACTCAATCATAAATAAAAAAACAGGTTTGGTGGTCTCATAGAGCCTGGTGAGACCCCTGAGACTATGGCCCCTAGTTACCCTTCAGGTCTGGAACTGAACTCAATCCTGTAGCTTCCCGCCAAACAATAGACAGGTATAAAGTGAACATTTACTTCAGGTAGATGTAATCAATCTTGGAGCAATCAATCAATCTTGAGAGAACAAAAGAGCAGTGTTTGCACAGGGAGATAACTCTGAGGGCTATGGGAGGGAAAGACACAGCGAAGAAGTAACTACAGGGAAGAAGTAGGAAGAGAGCTGTTATATTGTGGAGAACTGCAGCCAATATCATGAAACAATGGTATGAACTAGTTATGGTAAATGAACTTACTCTGTAAACTTTCACCCAAATCACAATTATTTATATGTTGTTGTTGTTGTTGTGTGCCGTCGAGTCGGCCCCGACTCATAGCGACCCCTCCTTGGGTTTCCGAGGCAGTATCACTATGGAAGTAGGATTGCCCAACTTTCCTTCCGAGGAGTGGCTGGTGGGTTTGAACCGCCAGCCTTCTGGTTAGCAGTCAAGCGCTTTAGCCACTATGCTACCAGAGCTCCTATATATATAATATTAATATATATATACATAGAGAGAGAAGTTGGGAATTCAAACCCACCAGCCACTCCATGGAAGGAATACTGGACAATCTACTTCTGTAAAGATTTACCGCCTTAGAAACCCAAAGGGCGTCACTAGAAGTCGAAATCCACTCCATGGCAGTGAGTTTTCTTCTGGTATAAATGCACCATTGAAGGAATGTGTTTTCAACAGGGCTGCTGTACACTATTGGGTAGTTTATATAAGGCACAGGATTCCATAGCTAAGGAAGCACCATTCACGTTGCAGACGTCAGAGATTTGACTCTGTACTATAATGGTCCAGCAGAGGGCAATAACACATCTCGTTCAAATAATATCTCTAAGGAGCTCTGGTGGTGTAGTGCCTAAGACACTTGACTACTAACCAGAAGGCTGGCGGTTCAAACCCACCACACACTCCTCAGAATGAAGATTGGACGATCTACTTCTGTAGTGGCACAGCCTCGAAAACCCAAGGAGGAGTCGCTATGAGTAGAATCCGACTGGAGGGCAGTGAGCTACATCAAAAGAATTGTAAAATACTTTGAGGAAGGGGAATTTTTTCTAATCCACACAAAGATGCTTCAGGATTCACAAACTGTGACTGTGCTTTTCAACTTACAATAAATATGTGGGCATACTTCCACATTGATGTGCTTTTAACGTCTTTCCAGAATAAACCATCCAAATCGTGATTGCTAATTCTTCTTCCTAGTATTTTCTTACATCTAACTGCTAATCAGAATTGTTGACATTTGAGCGCGTGTCTCTTCTGTAAATACTAGTGCTTAATGAATGTTTTGATAATGTTTCTCTATGATAAGAAAATATATAAATTGTAATAGCAGTGACATTGACATAAAGTCAAAAACAAAAACACCAAAACAAAACATACAAAAACAAAAACACCAAACTCATTGCCCTCCAGTCGGATCCAACTCATAGCGACCCCTCCCTGGGTTTCCCAGGCTGTATCACTACAGAAGTAGATTGCCCAATCTTCCTGAGGAGTGGCTGGTGGGTTTGAACCTCCAGCCTTCTGGTTAGCAGTCAAATGCCGTAGGCACTACGCCACCAGAGCTTCCACATAAAGTACAAGAGTAACCAAAATTACATTGAAAATCACATTACCCCAACATTTCTGCTTGCATGGAGGCAACAGAGTGGTTCACAAGGTGTGAAATAACAGCAGTATTTCTAGTGACACCGGATACCGAGGGAAAGGAAAAAAAAAACTCACTGCCGTGGAATGGTACTCAGAGAGACACCTGACCTGCCCGCAGCCCTGTCCTCCCTCCCCAGCGATCCACCACCCTCGCACCACCCTCCCACCACCACGGGGTTTCTGAGGCTGTCAATCTTCAGCAAAGTAGATTGCCCTCTGGTCCTTCCGCAGAGCATCTGGTGGCTAAGACACTTGCCTGCTAACCAGACGGCTGGCG